CCTCACCGCTGAAAACCCCAAGAGAGCCACTTTACAAAGGGGGAAGGGCCTTAAAAATAAAATACACAATAATACAATCAAATAGCATTCCCCTCCCCCTTAAGTTGGCAGGGGGAGAAGAAAAGAACCACGAAGGGTCCTTACCGCTCCCCCCTTCCTGGCGACCTCCCCCCCCTCGCCCAAATCTTTAGGATTGCAGGCCTCGGCGCTTCTTGACTAAGGAGTCCCTTTCCAATGGAGAAGTGTCCTTGTGGGGGGGGGGTATAAAACCCCAACGGTTTGGGTCCTGAGTGCATTGCCCCCCCCCCCTTGCAAGAGCTGGGGGGGGATGTTCTCGCGCGTATGATAAGCAGGCGGGTAATGGTGAAACGATCGGCCCGGTATTGAGGGGGCGGGGAATGGCAGCCCCCCGAATTCCAGGCCCTTAATTACTATTATTTCTTTCCCGCGTGTTCCCTGAATTAAGAGCACCGGATGCTCTTAAGCATCCCCGGAGCCTTAAGCGATGAAAGGAGAACCTTGGCGAGGGGGAAAAGAGACCCCACTCCGTTCACGCTGTGCGCCCCACGGAAGGGAAGGCGCCGAGTGGGGCAGGTGTAACCACCCGCCGGCCACATGGGGCGGAGGGGGTTGAGGTGGGGAAGGAGGAAGGGAAGGTGTTCTCTTTTTGGGGGGGTCGTTTCCTTTCGCTTTGGCAAGACCTCGTCGTCCCGGTTCACGAGTGGGGGCAGCGATGCTCCTGGCGAGCGGACGTTTTAACCTGTGCCAACAAGTAACTTAGAACTAATAATACAAGTAGACAAATCCACCTTCTCTTTCTCTCCCTCTCCTTCCTTCTCTCTCTCTCCCTTTTTCTCTCCTTCCCTTTTTCTCCCTCCCCTCCCTCCCCCTTTCTTTCTTTCCATCCTTCTCTCTCTATGTCTCTCTCTCTTCCTCTCTCCTTCTCTCCCTCCTCTCTCTATGTCTCTCTACCTCCCTCCCCCTCACCCCCTCTCTCCTTCCCCCCCTCTCTCTCCTTTCCTCCTTCTCTCTCTCTATGTCTCCTTCCATCTCTCCCTCTTCCTCTCTCCTTCTCTCTCCCTCTCTCTATGTCTCTATCCCGCACCCCCCCTCTCGTTTGGGCATGGCAAACCAGAGACACTGGGGAAGCCATCGGGAAGTGGGATCTAGCGGCATTTACGCCTTGCTCAGCCAGGTTAGTGTGGTAAGCCCGCCGCGAACCACCTGGGAAACGAGCCACATTCCTCATAAGGTTTTCCCTCCAGGTAAATTCCCTTTCTTTTCTCAGCCGCCTCCCCCCCCCCCCCCCCCCACGCGCCCTTCCACACGCCCGCCGCGTTCCATTTTGCTGCCCAGGGCTGCCTCCGAGCCTCGTCATGGGGTGAGGATCAGGCCACGGCCTCGGGAGAAGGAGCCAGGCGAGAGGCATTTCCAGCTTGACAGGAGGTAAAGCGAGGCGCGGGGGAAAGAAGCTGGAAAAGGGAGTCCGAAGAAAGCCAGCGAGGAGAAGCGGGACTTGGAAGGCCAGCTGCAAATTTGGTGGCGGTGGTGGGGGAGGAGGACGCCTCCTCCTTGGGAAAAGGAGGGGGAGCGCCCGAGAAGATGGGAAAGGGGGGGAGGGGAGAGAGAAGGGCCCCTCACCTGAAAAAGTCGTTCTTGCAGTAGAGCTTGCCTTCCCGCGAGAAGCATTTCTCGGTGAGGTTACATTTGCACTCGCAACATTGCACGCATTTGATGTGCCAGGCCCGATCCAGGACGTTGAGCAAGAAGCGGTCCAAGATGGGCCGCTCGCACCCGGCGCAATGCACCATCATCGCCGCGGCCGGACAGGGGGAATGGCTGCGCCGCCCAGCCGCTCCGCTGCGCCGCCCGCGGCCGTCGCCTCCTCCTCCTCCTCTTCCTCCTCCTCTCCCTCTGGGCGCGCTCGGGCTTCCTCGCCTTCTCCCCTCGGTCTCCTGCGCGCTTTCCTGGGCCGAGCTTGGCTTCCCGGGCGGCTTCAGCGCGGTATGCCAGGCCGTCCGTCCCCGGGGGCGACGGGGTAGGGAGGTGGCTGGCAAGGCCCAGGCGCGGCGGTGGTCTTCGGCCGGTCCCCTCCTTCGCCGGCGCGCCGCTGGCTGGCCGGGACTCGATCCCACTTTTGCGCTGCTCCCATCGCCCAGCTTTGTCTTGAGGCTTTAGTAATTCGCGCACCCTTATTCAGATTTGGTGACGTGGGGCGCCACGTCGGGCGGGCGGCGGCCAATGGCGAGCCGGTGGCCATGGCAACCCCTTAATTTATAGCATATCTAAATTGGCTCCTGCCTGACGCTTGGCACAGAGGGGGAAAAAGGAGGCAGCTCCATTGTGGAGGGGCGAGATTCGCACCTGACGCGCCGAGGTACTCCGTGAGTAGTTTTGCCTGCCGACCTGGGCGCGCTGGCGGGGCCGGGCGGGGGCACAACGGCCAGGCGGGTGGGAAGATGGGCTGGGGGGGGGTCGCCTCTTAGCCACCTCGCCCCCACCCAGAGTCAAAGAAATCCTCCTGCCCCTTTCGTTGAAAAAAACACCCAAAGCATCAGGTGGGGAGGGATGGAGAGCGCGGGGGTCTCCACGCCTCCACCGTCCGTGGGGGGGGGGGGAAAGGTTTGCTCCCGCTTGTGGACGCAGGCCCGGGAGAGACCCGCGCTAGAAACTTTGCTTGGGTCGTTCCCGGCCGCCGGCCTGCTTGTTGTGAGTGCGCGCGTACTGACTGTGGCGTGGAAAAAGGAATGGAGTCGGATTTGGGGATTCCCTTTAATTGACATCCCTCCCCCCCCGCCAAAAAAAAAGAACCCCATCCAGGTGTCCAAAGACAAGAGACGCGCGATATTCCTCCGCTGATCTTCATCCTCAGCCCTTCATCCCCGACCTCGGGAATTGCAGAGGCGCGCGTGGGCGGAAGTGTAGGAAAAGTAAGGAAGAGGAGAGAGCGGGGGAGAGAGGGAGAAAGAAAGAAAGAAAGAAAGAAAGAAAGAAAGAAAGATCCGAAGCAAAATTAGCTCGCCAATGGACCTCAGAATGAGGGAGAGGGAGAGGGAGAGGGAGAGGGAGAGGGAGAAAGAAAGAAAGAAAGAAGGAAGGAAGGAAGGAAGGAAGGAAGGAAGGAAGGAAGGAAGAAAGGAAGGAAGGAAGATCCGAGGCAAAATTAGCTCGCCAATGGGCCTCAAAACGAGAGAGGGGGAAATGGAGAGAGAAAGAAAGAAAGAAGAAAGGAAGGAAGGAAGGAAGGAAGGAAGGAAGGAAGGAAGGAAGAAAGGAAGGAAGGAAGATCCGAGGCAAAATTAGCTCGCCAATGGGCCTCAAAACGAGAGAGGGGGAAATGGAGAGAGAAAGAAAGAAAGAAGAAAGGAAGGAAGGAAGGAAGGAAGGAAGGAAGGAAGGAAGAAAGGAAGGAAGGAAGATCCGAGGCAAAATTAGCTCGCCAATGGGCCTCAAAACGAGAGAGGGGGAAATGGAGAG